TAAATTACATACCTGACATCTATGCGAACATGTACGTATGCAAGTTTGTTCACACGTATTTGTGTATTAAAACAAAAAAAAATAAATAAAAAACCAAAAACTAAAGACATGAACAACAACAACAAATAAGAAACAATGGCATTGCAAGTACTTTTCGATGATATTTTGCCAATCAAGTCAAAACAAAGTTTAAGTTTATATAAAGAAGGAAAGTTGAAGTAGGGGCAATTGGTGGAAGCAGAATAAAGCTAAAATTACCTTAATACTGTTCATTCAAGTTCAATAAAATAATAACAGAGAAATTTACCCAAACATGAGCAATACATGTAAAGGTAGGCAGCTGCAAAAGACGGTTGAGCGAATGATAAACAAATTTAAACACATGTGCATTCAAAATGAGTACAAAAATTTTATAATAGAGGCGAAGCAAATGGAAGCAAAATGTTGATACACATAAGTAATAATAATAATGTAAGATAATTTGTGGTGTTCTGATTTTAAGAGGCTTTAAAGGTTAATTTATTTTATATTATAATTAAATAAATATGCAACGTAATTAAATTTTTTTTTGGACATTACTTATGGCATTTCTTGTAGATTTATATGGTCATTATATATTATATATTTATCTTTCCTTGCTGGCTCAAGAAAGATCTATGATGATGTTTAACCTTGATATGCGTTCCAATAGAAAAGTTTTGTTTTATAGTCTATGAATTTCATCAGCGTATGATACTATTTGGGTATCAGGCTACATGTCACAATACCGTAGATCCAGAACGGTTTAATGCTTGTGTAACATATTATGCAAACCGTTCTAGATCTTGTGTACCGAACTATATAGATATGTAAAACATTGTGGTTAAGCCTTAATGTTGAGTTACAATTTTAAAGTCAGAAAAGTTATTACAAAGTCAACTCTTCTTAAGTTTTCTTACTGTCAATGTGTTTTTTTTTATATCAGTCAGCTCTCTTGATCAGGGCTTTTTGGTCCGGAACTCGCCAAACCCCAACATTTTGCTGGTACTTTTAAAAAAACATTAACTATTTTTTGTTTGTCATTTTGGGTTCAGAAGTACTTATATGGTAAATATATGAATACTATATGAATATTTGGGTTATTTTTTTTCCTTATATTATGAAGTAATAATATTATTTATTTTAACTAGAGTGTAAATCACCAACGATAAGATGTTATGAAAAAACTTTTTTTATTCCCTGATTTTTCACCGTTATCTCAAGTTAATTTTTCATAAATCTAGTAATTTTAAGAAATACTGTTCCAATCAAAATACCTAAGTGTTTTCCTCCCTAAGATTGTCTAATAATAAAATTATTTACTTTAACTGAAGAGTAAATTACCGAAGACAGCAGGTTTCAAAGAAATGTTTTTTCTTCCTTAATATTTTTTCATTATTTCAAGTTAATTTTCAAGGTGATAATCGGAGGTATGATGGGAGCTTTTGAGATGCTAGATTTGAATCACTGGAAAAGCTAAGTGTTTCTGTATCTTTCGAAAACTGATGCACAGGTCATTTATATATTCAAGATGGTTTGAAGGGTAAATTGAATTTCCTAGGACGTTCATAGAGATTCTTAAGTTTTAGCTTTTAAATCTTTTATCACAAAAGTGTTCTATTTCAAATGTTTGTAAATAGTGGAAAAGCATTTAAATTTGTTTTTTAATAAATTTAATTTTTGGGTGATTGTAAATCTGCTTCGAGTATTGCCAAATACCCATCATCAGTGGTCTTTTACAAGTAATTTTTTAGACGATTTTTTTTATTAAAATGTACCAAAATTTAGTGTTTTCTAAAAAAAATATCGATCATGTTATTATATACATCACAATTTTTCAAAAACTTAGCTATAAACTAATTATTTATTAATTTATGCATATCTAAAATAAGATCAAAAGTATGGGATTATTCACTCCTTACTCCCGAGTTGATGACTGAACTGTCATCCAAAGCATCATAAATTCAGTCAAATCTCTCCCACATTGAAATATAGATCGCTAAAGAACTGCTGAATGTATTAAAATTATGACAATTTATTTCAAATAATGAGACGGTTTTTGACATTATATTATAACTTTAGTGATAAGAGTTATAACATCTATTATTTACCTGATAGATGTGCCAGCAAAAAAAGTTTTCAGTGTGAAATGGGGTATTTGGTCTCGAGATATGGGGCTATCACAAGTAGGTTTTTGCAAATGATATATGTGTGGCATAAACCGTTAATCATTACAGCTATTATTTGTATTTTTTTTAGCAAGAAAATAAAAATCTTAAGCTAAACAATATATCCTTTTCTGGCTATTATATATAAGAAATTTCTCGGATGTGTAATTGCATTGCATGCTTTGGTGATGTTACCAAGTTCAACCAATCTACTTGACCTTTTCTGTGGTGTTACACAAAGTATTGTATTTAATCGTAAATTCCACAAACTTAAAAAACTTAACGTTGTGAAACATTCGTTAATTTATGGTCGAGCTATTGCTAGCATGGTGTTCTTAATTTGTAGAAAATTATCTCAAAAGTGTTCAGTACTGCGTGGTGCCTTGGAAAAAATATTTAAAAGATGTTGTAGTTCATATCCAAAGCCAAGAACCAAGCAATATATTGATATAAAAATCTATATATTAAATGAAATCCAATTCGCATATATGTTTTATTTAATTTTATTTTACTTTTGCAATTACAAAAAGTTTAACCCTCGACAACCAACTCAATCGAACAAATTGCTGAAGATTACCTATATTTGAATTCAAAATATTTACAAAATAATAAAAAAAAAGTGATAAAAAAACTAATTATAATAATTTAAAAAAAAATCAATACAACAAAAAGCCATACAAATAAACGAACAGACCGAAAATAGTGCCGGGCATATTCGGCCATTTTGATATATGTTTTTACCGCTTTTTTCTGCTACACAAAATGAAGGTGATTTTTAGAATTAATAAAAACAAACGCTAACAACATGTTAAAGTAATTAAAAATGTTAATTATTTTAAATAAATCATGAAAACTCAAAGTCACCATTAAAATGAAGTATTGAAAATTTATAAGCTAAGCCACTGCCCACACCGCTTTTCAGTTTCGCTGAACGTGAAATTCAGATACTTATTCAGATTTTCGGCCACCAATAGACAGATACATTGAGAATAGATGCTTATTTGGCTAAACGTATGAAGTTGTACTACTGTAAATTTATGGGAGTTTTTAAACTAATAAATTTTATAATAAAAGAGAATTACCAAAAGTTCAAAAAAAAAAACTTGTTAACATTTTGTGGTATGTTACCAAAAGCGAGATAAATTAAATTAAGCCAAAATATAAATTTAATTAAAAGTAATATCATAAACAAAGCACTGTGGCAGGTTTTTATATGGAATGGATTTATAATGCATAATCACGCATACTCGATATATGTGGTATATGTCTACCTATACTCTATACTATCTATACTTATATATTTTGAATCAAAAACCGATATATATTTAGCCTGTTTATATTATTCAAAAAAATTTGCTGCCAATAAAATAAATAACTTGTTAACAAAATCATATTCATATTAGATTTTATTTAATTTTTTATTTATTTTTATAAATTTTGAACTGTGGGAAAATATTTAGTTTGGTTTTAATAGAGGCATATGCCGAATTTACGAGTCTAAATTTTGCTTTTGTTGTCAACAAGTTTTTGGCGAGTTTTTATTTTTAATTCAATTTTAAGTTGATAAATTTATGACAATTTTAACCGAAATAAGTTGCTTTATTTTTATGCAAAATAAACAAAACATTTGTTTAGTTGAATAAATGCTGGAATTGAAATATTCCGTATTTTATTAATTTAAATTTGCATAAGTTCGATTATTTAAATTTTTTATAAATAATTTTAATTAGAATGCAAAATTGGCTTTCTTCTAAATCTTTATGGTTTTTAAATGGTTAATACATTTTAAAAAGTTTTAAACTAAAAAGTTGTAGCTTCATTGAATTAATTTTACTATACGCAATACCATAGGATCCGAGCTCTTAGTATATCCAACTATTAGTCTGCATCTGACTGTAGACGTTAGGCGTATTTAGATCAATAACAAAAAAAATGGAGAGGTTTCTTCATCCAAAAAGATCTAAACACACTATTTTTAGAAAACATTTTTTAAATATAAAATAAAAAAAAAACTGATATCTGCGAATTCTATAAAATGCAGAGTAAAATATAAAAAATATGGTCTTCTCTATTTGTATCTTGCTATTGTCAGTAAAACTATTTATTACCATCATCATTCAGCCGATGAGACATAAAGTCTAAGAGACATTTTTTAACCAAGGTTTGCTTAGATAATACTATGTCTGATAAGGTAATCAGGCATTGAATATTAGACCTCAACGATTACGGTGTATCTCTTTTAAGAATAATAATTAAATTTAATATTAATAATAATATTTGAAAAAATTGAAAGAATGCACAGAAATTCTTTCGAAAATATATAGTAATATGTTATATTGCCAAACAAAAAAAATTCCTATTCCGAATAACTAAAATAACCACATTAAGTTCGCAATGCAAAAAAATGTTTACTTGGTATAATGATAATACTATATATTGTATTTATAATCCTTGTTTAGCTGAAATGAACTATCTGATTTTCGGATTTTCGGAGACATCGGATTGATATATATGTGAAATATTTCTAATAAAGAATTAAAAATATAAAATTATAAATTTAAAACTAAATACAAGTTGCAAGTTTTTGAATAAGAATTCAGAATTCATAAAATTAAAACTAAATTTCAATTGATATATTCTATCAGCCTATAGTTAATAAAACGGACTAAAAAAACTATCATAAAACTATCATAAACAATTTTTTAATGCTTTTTTTACCAAAAAGTCAATATACATGACAATAACTAGTGCATAATTCATATTCTACTTTCAAAAATACATTTAATTTAGAGTACTATATATTTATATTTACAGAGTAATCCTTATGCTTTGAAAGATTCTGCTACCGGCACAGAAATGACTGCTTGGACATCAGCTGGATTGCAGCCCACAACTGGATATTATTCATACGACCCTATGTCCGCTTATGGGTGAGTTTAAAACGTTAAACATATTAAAAATTAATAACATATTAGTTATAGTTTTAAATTTATAATAATTATAAATTTATATTAATTATAAATTTATAAGTTAAAGTACCTATATTCTATAAATTGTTGAACCAAACATTTTTTTTTTTAAATTTCGAATAGTTATTCAGAAATGCAAAAAACGACATAAATCGCATTCAGAAATAAAGTTATTCTGATTGTTTTCTGTAACAAACGAATCGCGCCCAAATCGGTCATAAACGCAACAGACCACTGAAATGGTTATGGCGTTTATATTTTGTAATTTGCGGGAAATTTTGTTTATCAACTTTCTTAAAAAATGCCAGAGCGTCAGTATCTACATGATCAGATTGCTGCAATGTTCAAGTAGTGCATTTAAAAGAGGAAATCCCTAAGCAATGCCCTCATATGAACAAGGAAAAGTGCACTTTCACCAAGATAATGTGACGTGTCTGAAGAATATTGGCTACAATCGCCAAATTGCCCTAATTACACTTCCGTTTGCTTTCGCACCAACTATATTTGCCAGATTTGATCCCTTACGATTACTAACTGTTCGCAGGCTCCATGGAAAGATAGAAAAGTCAATCGCCAAAACTGAGGCATTTGTTTTAGGCGAAAAATGAATTATATTACAAGAGAGACATTAAAATATTAGAGAAAAAAAGTTCATTTCTTATTAGTCGATGTGTTATGGGATAAATATAATGCAACTTAATCATAACTACAAAATTCTATTAATTTTGTTTAAAATATACCACATTTTTCGGTTAATTAATTTAATCGTAATTCACAAATGAACCCAGTCTCTATGTTAACTTTATTACCTTAAAGAAAGGCTTGTGGTAAAGCAAAAATTACAGGTTAGGTTAGGTTAGGTTAGGTTAGGTTGGAGTGTCAGTCTTATACACCAAGAAAGCACAATTGAGCTCAAATAATGGCGCGCTGTGGTACCACAAGAATAACGTTGGTACGTATTTAGACTAGAATGTCAGTATTCAACCTTCTATATTAATAAATTACAAATTAATATTATTATTTTTGAAAAAATGTAGTTTTTTTAAAATTTTGTGAAAATAAATCTGTGGTTAGTGAAGTAAACTATAAAGTTTCACAATTTCATAAACGTTTTAATTGGATAGATTTTCGGCACGCTACAAATTTGCCGGTTAAATAAATTTTATTGCAATTTGACAGGCATAAGTGTTAAACAATAAAATTTATAACAATAATGCGCGACTAACTAATAATAAATCATTTGTCAAATCATAGTAAATGAATTCAAAAATTAAATTTATTTCAATGCAATTGACTACAATTAACGAATTCATATGAATAAATATGAGAACAAAAACAAAAACAGAGACAACCACAACCTCAACCAAAAGGTATGAATGAATGAATGACCGGAAAAACTTTTCGTTGTGTGTGGAGTAAATGCAATCCAACTATTATACAAATAAAGCGTAGGCAGCTGGATCCCCCGGGACGTTGAATGAGTGGAGTCAGTGGAAATGGTGATAATTAATTGCAAAAGATTTGTGAGCATTTAAAATTGATTTGAATTTAATTGTTTTATGTGCAACGACGACGAAACGTACGAAACTCCATTTGCATTTGGCGATAACTGAAGTAAACGTACTGGCAACGCCAAATGAAAAATAAATGTGACATAAAATTGGAAAAAATATCACGATAAGTTCTTTGTGAAAATGATAAAAAAAAACAAAAAAAAAAAAAGAAATTTAATTGTGCAAATTGTGAGAGTGCGCGCATAATTATTTATTTACGAGTTTGATTGCGGCGGAAATAATCGCACTTAATTGCACACAAATGCGCATTTATGCACGCACACCATCAACACACACACATACATTTGCAACGCTGAAGCTTCAACGCATTGTCGTCGTCGTCGTTGTTGTTGTTGTTGTTGAAGCAAATGACTGTGAGCATTTTAAATGCACTTGCTCGGTTCGCATGGGTGCTTTCCTAATGGATTCGCGTGCAGATGAATGTGGATAAACTAACGCCATGTTGGTAGCCGCCATATTGCTACGCTATGTTGACAAAAATTTAACGGAAGGACGGTTTGCTTTGGTTTTTAATTTTTTTATTTTGTTTTTGGTTTTGTTGTGTTTTTTTTTTTTTGTTTTTTGGTTTGAGGTTTTGGGTTCGGTTGAAGTTTTGTTTAAATATGCAAGGCGAAAAAATTAAAATCAAAGTAAAAACTAAAAAAAAAAACAACAACAACA